TTTTTTTTTTTTTTTTTTTTTTAATCTGCGCAATTTCGATAAAGCAGTAATAACTGTCAATGACATACCGATTGCAGAACAGGCCAAAAGGATAAGGGTAATCCATCTATTAGTTTGTTCCGCTTTAGCGCTTGAAACGTATGGAACGTTGTTTGGTACTATGTTGCATAACGGCAAAAAAAATCATAGCGAAGCACAGGTTGAAGAAAACCCACGAAAGAGTAACACCGGGGAAGTAGGTAGCCATCGCAAGGCAAGGGATAAGAAGGAAAACATAAACAAATCGGGAAAAGGGCATATTACAAATGTGGAAGGAAGAGCAGATTGTGAACCACGTGACATTAAGAGAAAAGGTGAAAGAGATAAAGTACTAATTCAGTGTAAAGAGTTACAAAGAAAAGAATTGGAAGCGTTAAAATTGATTTATGTGCGGGACAAAGAGCTAGCCATTCAGAATGAAAATGACGAAAAGAGGGACACAATAATACACATGCAATTGAATGATGAAAACATCAGTGACAATGTGATAAATTTAATTTTCGAGTTACCCAAAGATTATCCTCTAAAATCTTTTTTAATCATTAATATAAATGTAAAAAATTTCACTCCAGACATGAACAACTATGTGAACCAGGAAGTGTACAAAGATATGCCAAATTATATAGAGCATGAAAACAGCATTTTAAGTATCATTTACCGAATTAACGAGTTGGTGGAAAATATACAAAACAGGAATAACTCTTCCCTAGACCACAGTTATTCCTCATCAGAAGAAAGGGAAGAAAACGTAGAGGAAGAAGAATTTGACACATCCACAGACGAACTTATTAAAGACCACGTGCCTTTTCTATATTGCAGCGGAATGACTTATTCCCATCACCCAAGGGTGTTAGCTAGACGCCTGTGCTACTCGCACCATATTCTTAGTTTAGTGAAAAGAAACTACATAATTAAATGGGCGAAAGAATTAAAAATTGGAGGGTACTCAAAAATAGGGTACCCCGGTATAATAATATGTGAGGGTCCCAAGGAAGAGGTCGATTTCTATATTAACAGTTTGAATAAGCTGAGATGGAAGCATTTTGACTGTAGGGGCATGGAGGATATTACCTTAAAGGAGTATGAGGACTTGGATGATGCGCGAGTTCTTCCAAGGCACATGTACGAGCTCGATCCAAAAGGGATGAGCACGCTGTCTAATATATGCACCGAATGCGGCCTACGCGATTTGTTTTTAACAAGTATGAAGATTTACCACACCGGGGAGAAGCGCTCAACGAATGAGGGGGGAAAGGACACCGACAGCAATAGCAAGGACAAGAATAAGAAAAAGAAAAAGAAGAAATGACATCGCGTGGAGGGCGGATAAAAGGTGGTCAACAAAACGCTGCCCTTCAAAGCGCAACCCGCGGGAGCCTTGTTTTCTTTTTCCCCCCACATTTGGGCACCACCATTGGTGGAGTTCCTTGTTTTCGTCTTTTTTTTTTTAATATATATATATATTTTTTTTTTTTTGTTTGTTTTTTTGGTGTTACTTGTGCATTCCTCCTGGGCCCATTTTCGCGCTGCGCATAAATGCGTAGAAATAATGTATACGCAAAAATGCATTCCCCAGTGGTGAAAAAAAAAAAAAAAAAAAAACGATGTGATACTTACACTTTTACAATTTTTTTTTAAAAAAGAACTACTCGTATAGGCTAACCTTTTCTACGCGCATGCTGTGTGCACAGTTGCAATGTCGCAAGGTACTTGTCCTAGCTGCACGTAAGTCTTGTCCAAAAGGGACAAATTGTTTCATATGCACGCGTGCACATATCCCGGCGGGAACATCCAAAACAAGTTCCCGTTACGTTTATATATATATATCTTTTGTAGGTCTGTCCGATTGGGCAAAACGATATGTGCACATAAATGTCGGCATTAGTTTGCCCCTTTTTGTAGAAAATAAAATTATCGTACTTTTAGGATTAAAAAAAAAAAAAAAAAAAAAAATACCTTGCGTTGCCCATCAGCTACAACATTTTCTGTCCACTTGGCTCATTCCCAAAACGATGTAGAGTAAATTTTGTCATCTTCATGTGTACAAATTTTGATTGTAAAAATTCGGGGAATATATTCCCGTGAATGTTACCCCTTTTTTGTCTTTCTGTGTTTTCCATTTTGTGCTGAATTTTTAACCCCTTTTGGGTATCAAATGTGTGTGTACATGTACAGATAGTTGTGTGCATACAATTTCGTCCCTGCGCATGGACACTTGTTCATACCCACGTGGAACGCACATTCTGTATGCACCTGCTACGAAGAGTTGTTTTTAAATTTGTCAACTTCGTCTACCTTCTCATAAAAAAAAGTTTTGCAAAAAAAAAAAAAAAGAAAATTTACGTCATTGTACAGTGAAGGCATAATAACCCTCTGTGTGATTGACCCACATATGTGGTTAGCAAAACTGTTAAGATTTAGTAACGAGTAGTGGCCCCTTTTTTTCGTACCCCTTGCACTTATGACCGGTAAGATAGTACATGTACACCCGTATCAGTTGTCTATTCCCAATTTTGAAATTTTTTTTTGTCATTGTTAAAACTGCGACGAGTGTGGATTGCAGCGAGGGGGAACTAGCGGAAGAAGTAGTGGCCACCACGGGGGTCGGACGCAACATGCACGGGTTGTACAGAAAAAACCAGCTGAGCTCGCCCGAGGAACACCTATGCACGAACGCAATTTGGAGGAAGAACCTGTTCAGCAGGTACGAAATAAAGCCGAAATATTTTAACGTGTCCACATATAATGTTAAAAATAACTCCAATGAATGCTTCCAGAGGGTGTCGCACAATTCCTGGTATGATACTAGCAGCTTTAGGAAGAAGAAAGGTGCATTTTTATTTTGCAGAGAATTGAGAAACATCAATTGGAGCAACAGCCACGATGGAGTGGAGACCAACTTGAGTGATATACCACACGATGGAGTTGAGGCTTGTGTAAATGGTGCCATCACAATTCACGCAAACAATGAAGACGCCAAGAATTTAGACGACTGTGGTAGCTTGCCCCAGGATATGGTAGGTTGCCACCCAAATGACAAACCATTGAATGATAAAACATCAAATGAAAGAGAGAGAGAAAAAAAAAAAAAAACACTACCTTTACCCAACGATGGAGTATCTCCCACTGGTAGCTTGTTAACCCTTCATGCCCGAACAAGAAAGCTACACAAATTAGCAAAAATGGGGAATGCCAAAAAAGCATATAACGTTAAAAATGAAAAGTGGACTCCTGAAACGGGTTCACCTTTGGAGCATGAACCCGCACATAGGTATACCCACAAATGGGACGCCACCCATGCGGTTAGCGGCAAGGTGTACAAAAAGAAACAAACGAGCATCGATTTGTGCAAGTACAAAAAGGATAATAGCTTAAAGGAGTGCGATTTGCATGGACAGGTCAACGAGAAAATCATTTCCAGCAGTCTATCAGTTGAAAAAGAAATTTTGTGCGTAGGCCAATTAGCCACACTTCCTGTAGACGACAAAATGAGGTCAGACAAGAGTGGAAAAGGGCAATTGGCAAACAGTTTTAAAAAGATGAAAGAGAAAAGTGTTCACAGAAGGGAAAACTTAGTGGGGACGTTACAGATGACCCCTTCCAGGGAACACGCAAAAAAGGAGTCTCTTGTCCGCTCCTACTTCACTTCTGAGGCGGCATCTGTTAGTGTGATTGCAGGTGGAGGTGACGCCCATGAGGGGAGAAAAGTTGAAGAGAAAACCACACCAGTGGTGGAAGAACAAATAAGAGGGATTTTTCACCCCACTGGGAATGCCAAAGCGATGGTTAAAGTAATTGGCCTGATTAAAGGAACGTGCGCAGGTTATGAACAAACGGGGAGACGCTTCTTGGGGGCACAAAAAATGCTTCTAAACGAAAGCAAACAGGGGAGGAAAGAGAAAGAAGGGGGCTTAGAGGATAATGTTGGTCGAGTTACCACCTGGAACTGCGCATTAGAATCACCTCACCATGGGCAAGGCACCCCCCCAAAGAACACACGAATCACCACTTCTCTGCAGAGAGCAAATGGGGGGCATATTCAAGATACATGCTCATCAAAGTACTCTTCAACAAAAAGACCAACCACAGAATGTATGATGATTGAAGACGTAGATGTAAATAAGCCCAGACAGGATGAAGCGGAGGAGCGAATCATAGGGGTGTCCACAAATGTACCACGACAGAGTAAAAATCTGCACCTGTTAGATGCGCCCAGGAATGAAATGATCTTTTTTGACTCCCTTCATAACACGCAAATGTATTTTAGAATCGACTTTAAGCTGTATAGGCCCATTCTTATGAGGACCATTACACAAGTGAGGGTGTACTCCAATGAGAAGCTACTTCAGTGTGTTTATATAAAAGAGTACCCTCAAAAATTTTCTGTAGTTGTGCAAAGTGCTGTCCGAATGTGTAATGGAAAAGTGCTAGCCAAAATGAAAAATAAATTAATAAACATCAAAGAAACAGGGGTTCTAAATTTTACGTATCTAACAAATGAAAAAGTAATTGGCTGTTCCCATATTAGCATTAAGCATCTGGTAAGTGCTGGAGTGGAAGGAGGCCTTTTCATTCCTGTAGATGACCACACAGATTGTACAAAACAGAAATATCTGAGAGAAGGGTTTGTGGCAGATCCTCTTGTTCAATTCGGAAGACAAGAAATTAACGTTTTGAAGTCTAAAATATTTGTCAACTATAAGATTGACTGCCCGAGAATGATGCATGATTTTATTGCATCTGGTGAAGTGGTGACAGCTAGGGCTAAAATTTCTTTCCTGGAGGATATGGTTAGACAAATGTATAGCTTCATACAAGATTCGACGCTGGTCAGATTCGTGAAGGGTGCACGGGTCGTACATGGGGGGGCTGCTAGTGCACGGGTATCCTCCTCGGAGTATAACGGGTTGGAGGAACCAGCGAAAGTGGAAAAGGAGGACCCACACTCAGACGGAGAAAAAAACACCCTCGGTGGAAGCGGTCATATGGGGCACGACGATTCGAGACAACGCGAGGAGGGTAGTCCCCCCAGTGCGCTCAACGGAAGCAACGCCCTGCAAAACGGTGGCGAGGAGACTGAAGATCATGTGCCCATTGGTTGTTCGGCCCCCAATGACGAAAGGGACGATACAGCAGATAGGGAAGAAAAAGAGGAAGGGGAAAATAAACATGAGGTGGCGGAAAAATCCAACAGCACTGATTTACGCGAAGGACGTTGCGATGATACGCCTACCTCGAATGATAAAGCTCCCCCTTGGTGTGATGGCGTAGCCACGTGTGACCTACTTGGGGAGACACCCAATCGCAGTCACGTAGTGGAAGAAGTGTTAAAATGGAAACCGGAAGAGCAGGGGACGTGTAATTATCACCATGTTGATGGTATCACCCCGCTGCAGACGCACAACGAGAATGAGGACAACGCTGAGAAGGAGGAGAATCATGAGAACCCCTCGAAAGGCAGCAAAGACGAAGCAGAGGAAGGCGGCACAAACAGGTGTGCTCCAAAAGGGGTACCCCCCACTTACACTAAAGGACCAAAGACATATTACCCATTTCAACATAAAAGCAGAAAAAAACAAATAGAACAACTAGAGGGCCTCATAGTGGAGTATAAAAAAGAATTAAAAGAAAAAGCCGAGGAGATACAAAAATTAAAACATTCAAACAATAACACCAATATACTTTACAAAGCCTGTTACAGGAAACTACGGGAAATTGAAAATGAAAGGAAAAGAACTGATGCAATGAACTTTCTACTCAAATTTGATCATTGCTCTGCTAATAAATTAACCAAGCCTTTAGACACAAAAAAAGCCCTCCCCCAAAGAAAGGCATATACAGGAAGTGACGCAAATGTAGTGGTGGGTCCTGATGTACGAAGGGTAAACTCACTGGGAAGTGCCTTAGTTGCGATAAACAATGAAGAGAAAAATATGGGTGGAAATGCCAACCGTAGGAGCGGCACTGGCAACGTCACAGGAAGCAGCACCTATGTAACCAGCATGCGGAGTCTCCCTCTAGCGGGCAAGGAAAAATTAAACAAAAGGAAACAGACCATCCACACCGAGTCCGTCAACAAGGCGATTATGATGTTATTCGACCCTGAGTTGGGGAAAAACTTCCGGGACGAAAAGGTTGCCACACGGAAGGGAGGCGATGTCGACCAGTGCGGTGACAACTGCGGTGACCGCCGCGTCCTCCTGACTAACTACCAAATGAAGGAAAAAAAAATTGACGCACTTGTAAAGGAAAACGAATCGCTAAAGGAACGAATAAACAAGTTAACCCTAACCGATACGGAATACTGCAACAGAATACCACCACTCAAAAAGGTCTACTCCACCACAAGGGCACATGACAAATGTAGGGCCCAGAGACACGCGAAATTAAGAAGCGTTGAACAGCGGTGTACAAACTCAAACTACCTGGAGCATTCGTGGGGGGAGAAAAAAAAAATTTACAACTACGCTGGGGTGAGGAACAAGTATAGCAGTAACAGCAGATTTAACTTTCCTCTCAATTTGATTAAAAGTTATTCTAATGATCCCATTGCACATAGAGGCGTGGATATCTGTCCTTCCGGGTTCTAAATACGGGACCCGCGCACAATTTAACAACCCATGCATTGTCATTGGTGGTGTCTTTTTTTTTTTTTTTTACGTTTCTTTACACAATAAGTTGCTCACATCCCCTGGGGTTGTGGTGGCAAATATAGAAAATAGTCCCCCCAAAAGGGGGCAGACACAACGATTAGAACGTGCACACGCACATGGTTAACACTTTCCCTGGAGAGGCGGCCTGTCCCCTCTTGGTTGCGAGCCTCGTAGTCCAACGGGACAGTCAATGGGTCACAAAAAAAAAAATATATATATATATAAAATGAGGCGTTCAATTTTGGTAACTTGTCCTCAGCCTAGCCAAAAAATTATAAATGGGACAAAAAAAAAAAAAAAAAAAAAAAATTACGAACACTTCGCTTGTCATAACAAATGAGGCTGACACGCAACATGGCAATTGTGCACGTAACTAAGTGACATCGTGAACGGTGCAGAATTGCATTTCGTTGGGAATGGGGACTGGACCCATCGAGTAATTCACAATCGCTCTGTTGAAAAAACTTCGGCGCTCTTTTTATCCCTCGTTAGCTTACTATGCGTAGATGAGTACTCATATAACTGACGCGCTGATTACCCATTTGACATTTTAAAAAAAAAAAAAAAAAGTTAATGTTAAAGCTGAGGTGGTGAATTGGCGAGGGGGTGAAGAGAAACTGGACAGTTCCGAAAATCTTGGCGTCCTCTTCAACTGAAAAAATCTCAACAAGTGTAAAAAAAAAAAAACAATATCAAAAATGATTGTTCTGATTGGAGCTACGTGCATAGCTGTTCTTAACGTGTTTCACATAAAATGAAGCGAGCGCTAATTATTAACGTCGACCGGCGAAATGAACATCCCAGAGTTGGTGCTACTCCTCGGATTGGCATTCCTATGAGGGACGATCCACATGTCTAATCAGCACACACACAGCGCTTCATTTATTCCGTGCCTTCCCTGAACTTGTACATCTCTTGTAACTTTTTTTTTCTTGCTGTTCAAAATATGCTTCTCATTTTTCTCCGTTTCTGCGTCGCTTTGGTATGGCCCATCTCCACATGACAAAATGTATAGTAATCCCTGCAGCTACCCCATGCCGCCACCCCATGCCGCCACCCCATGCCGCCACCCCATGCCGCCACCCCATGCCGCCACCCCATGCCGCTATGTTGTAGTCGCATTATTGTGTGGTTACCCATTTTAACATTTTTTTTCAATAGTTCATTTTTCCTCTTGTGAAATGCGTACAGACGATTTTCCGGGTGAAAAATTTTGTTTTTTTTTTTGATCATCCATATTGTTGGCCCTGCTTGGAGATGTCTCTGTATGTGAACCAGCGAGGTCATCTTTATCCGACACGGACATGCGCTCTCTTGCAAAATTTTCATTCTTCATTTTCACAAGTTTGTTTTTTGTGATGACCTTATCCTTGGTCTCCTGAGACATGTCTTCCATGTAGGTATTGTAAAAGGAGGCCATCTCCTCGATATACTGGAGGTCATTTTTTACCTCCCCATTTGCAATAATGTTGGAGAATTTTGCAAAGGAATTTTCGTCCTCAAAATATTTTGAGCAGAGGTGATTACTTAACAATTCGTAACACACATTTGTTAGATACACGGTTGGGCATTTGAAGGTAAAGGACCACCCACTGATTAGTAGTGTTTTTTTTTTTTCTTTCATTTGAATTTCTACATCATTTTCTTCATTAATGGTAGATTGAGTGGCGGAGCTGTAGTTTGAAAATTCTCTGTTCGGGGCATTTACACCTACATCACGATCTCCATTTTTGGTGGCGCCATTAGCGGTGGCGGACAGTACTTCCGGTGTGTCTGCTGCGGCGAACCCAGACGACGTGCCTTTTCCGCTCATTTTCTCTTTTCCCTTTTTCCCTTTTGTTTGATTCGAACTGTTACTTTGTGGTTGTGTTGGTGTTGTGGCCGCCACATCCGCCGTAGAGATGTGCTCGACCTCCCCATCCGCTGCAACCGCCACCACATCAATGACGCCATCGGCTTCCTTCTTTTCCGTATCCATGGAGTTGTTTTTAGTGTCTGTCTTACACTTGACTAACTTAAACTCGATGTCTTCCATGTAGTAGGACCATTGTGGGGTAGCATCCTCAACGTCTGCAAAAAAGTGAATAAACTTATCCCACGTGATAACAATTACACCTTCCACACACTTGTTGAAGAATCCTACACTGGTGAGGTAACCGCTGATCCTAGAACAGAAAATGCAGAGTATGGACTTCACATTAATTTCATGATTATAAAAGATAATGGAAGATTTTATTAAGCTTAATGCCTTGTTTAACTGAGGAATAGAATCACAATTATCATTAAGCTGAAAGGGAGAAACTGGTTTAATTAAATCTTCATCATCCACGATGGTCACAGAGGATAAATTCAGGAACTGAGCTTCGTCTATATTTTTTTCAAGCAAAATAGAATCATATAATATATTCATATTATTTAAGTAAGAATTTAAAAACTGTTTATATAGAAGAATGTATGAACAAAGGATATCCTTAATTGTATTTTTCTTCCATTGGATTAACTGAAAGAACGTTTTGACGCTGGTATAAATAATGTCTAGGTATTCATTTTGTATTTTTAATAAATCTTTTACATTTTTTATATATTTCCTTTGACACAACCATGAGCATTTTATCTTTTTACTATCTTTAATTCCATCTGATCTTATTTTTTCTGAATTCGAATAGCTATTTTCAAAATACTTCCAATACATTTTACACATCTCTACTTGTTTGAGCAAATCATTTTTTTTTTTCTTCATTGCTTCTATTAATATTTCTTGTTCCTTCAAGTAGCAGTCTTTTAAAATAATTAAACTTTTTTGGTTTATTTTTGTATCAATAACATCACAACTGATTTTCATGCTGTTCATAATTTTTCTGTAATTCATAAAGCCGTACTCTACCCAGTCGTTTATAATGCTGTGATTCAAATTGCATATCTCTCCGTTCATATTTATTACATTGTCTACCATTTCGTTTATTTTGTTTGAGGCGTTTTTCCCACTGTTCTTTTTTAGGAATGGTGTATCAGGGGCATTTTCTTCCTCTTTTTCTACGTCTTTTTCGCCCCCTTTTAGGCCCTCTGTTGCGTCCCCCTTTTGCCCTTGTTTTTTGGACCCCTTTTTCTTCTTTTCCTCCGAGTCCATTTTGTTGTTCTTCTTCCCCTTGGACTTCCCTTCACTCACAATGGTAGAAGCTGTGCTTCCCTTTTTCTTCTTCAAATCTGCTTCTGCACCCTTCGCCGCTTGACTGTTAAGGGGATTCTCCTCCCCTTGTATGGTGCCCAGATGTGTAGACTGCCCATTGGCTGACTCCTCCTTGGCTAACTCCTCCTTTTCAATGTTTAAAAAACTTTGGGTTAAATTATTTACCCGCGTGTTACCTCCCACGGAAACGCCTTTATTATAATAGCTGGTATCATTTTTTATAAATTCTTTGAAGAATCTATTCAAATTATTAATGTTGTAGGAGCCATGCCTTAAGGCCTCGGCCATTTTGTCGCTTATCCGTTCAAGGAAGTTAATAAAATTGTGGGTGCAGTTCTCCCTGCTTTTGTGATACTCTGTCATTTCAATGAAGTAGTACTTTTTGTATACTTCGAAGAAAATTTTTTTTTTTTCATGCAAGTTACTTTGAATGTCTTCATCTGGCAGGGTGTTGTCCCCTACCTGGATATCTGTCGCACTTATTGGATTCATCATTTGATCATTCTTCTGTTCGCTAGCGTTATAATTACCCGCAGGACAACCTGCGCTTTTTATGCCTACACCTTTAGCCCTTAGGGCACTGAAGTAGGTCTCTCTAAGATCCCGTGCCCACACTGATTCTTCTGTTTTGCGAGGTCCGCTGGTGTCGGCACTTGGCATTAGTAAAACCGTGCGCAGTTTAGATGATTGGCGGCGAGCCTAGGGATCGCTTGATACGACGAAGATGATGTGGTCTGGTCGGCCCACTTGGCCACAGGTACAACGACACAACCTGCATATGTGCATCAATAACACCTGCCCAATGGTCCACGCAATGAGTAGATATATATTTACTCGAGACCATACACAAATGGAGGGCAATTAAAACAAATTGGCAGGGGGTAGTTCATAAAAAAAAAAAAAACAAAAAAAAGGTTCAACATGGATAAGTCGTGCATGAAGTAGAGATAATCCAAATGTTTCGAAGAGGAAAAAAAAAAAAAAAAAAAAAA